TCCAGTAAAATCACATTACGGATCATATGATTTACTATGCCTCATGACTTGATTTTACTGGAAACGTTCCCATATAGCATGTAGATAACGGTTTTATTATTTTATTTTATTCAATTCTGACAGTACATATTCAGGGATACAACGGTGAGACTTGTACTTTTTGGCAGCATATTCTGCCAACTTACCAGTGATTTCCTTTCTATACAAATCCATGTAATGCCACACCTTCCTAGCGAATCTTCTTATTATAATCATGTCAACAGATTCCAAGGCTTCAGGAATGATACGTTGCAAGCCTGACCAAGAGTAGTCACAGTTCTCTCGAGTATATCTTTTTGCTGCACCCTAGTATCGCTTAATGTAATTCAATTCGCAATGGAACTTCGGATAAAAGATGCATTTATATCCAGCTTCCAGTATGGTTTCTTCTAATGCACTTTTTTGTAATAAAAAATCTGGCTGTAACGAAATGATTCTTCTTGCACAACAGTCTGTCCGATTTATATCATCTACCTTATCCTTGCATAACTTACAGTTAGCACTTAATCCATTTTTCCACAATCCTCGTTCAATCAACACTTGTTTCATCCCTTTTGGCTCATTATTTTCATTGACCATTAATTGGTGGCGGTTGTCTGGTCCAAAAACCGTATCTCGCATTTTCAGTTGCTTGCTTCTGGGTTTTAGGTTCATCTGACTTGCCACAAGTGCATCAAAACTGTATGCTGCATGGTTTGAACTATTATCGAATGCAAACAAGACAACACAGTTTGGAAAAATAGTTTCAAAAATTGGTATAGTCTTAGTTTTCACTTGTTCAACTAAATTCTCACTTGTCCAGTATCCATCCCGATCTTTTCCCGGTTGAAGATAAACTTGAGCTTCTTCAGGTATGAATGAGTTTTCTTGATGTTACTGAGAGTTTAATTTAAGTCAGCCACATTCTTCTATCAAAAATTCACTAATCATGATAGAACGCCCATTTCCCTTCTTGCATAATGGCAACTCCCCAGATTTTGCCCACACTTCTCGTTTACTATCATTTGAGTAGAATATACATTCATCATGAGTTATGTGAATTATTTCCTTTTCATTAGATTCCAATATCAGTGGTATCTGTTCCATATTCTCCCCTCATATTTCGCCATATACTTTTCGTAACTAAATATAGTGTCACGAAATGATTGTCAATACCTTATAACATTGGGGCGCTCATGACCATCATAGTATATACCTATATATCATGATGTAAGATTAGTTTATAACTTTTTTATTTTTTTTTAATAATTAATTCATTCTTACCTTGTTTATGTGATTGAAAGAAATATCCAAGTACATTAAACCAACGTGCTGCAGTTGCTATATCAATGGTCTTTTTTTTCAATATTCCCGAATTTACAAGAAGTTTTTCTTCAACAAATTCCTTAAATTTTAGCGGAGTAGTTGTCCCACCTTGAGATCGAATCCATGTATGGCATTTTTCCGCTATATCTTCATCATCAATTAAGTGTACTATTTTTGATGTTTGCCTTGATGACTTATTGAAAGATGGTTATATTGGAGCCAATAATTTGCCTAATAACAGATTGTTTTTGCTCTATATGATGCACTCTCAATAAACACCAATTTTGCTGCTTCTATACTTGCTTTTACCTTTCCATTTTCATTATCATCTAATCTTCTCAAATATTCAAAGATTGCTCGTTTTTTGTTATATTCAGTCACTGTTAATGACTTTTGTTTTTCTTTAAGTTCAACTTTCAAATTTTCGATTCTTTCTTTTAGATTAAGAGACATATAGTTAAGTTCATCAATTTCCATATCATCCAAAACTTCATCAAAATCAGCCGGAATTGATTTGTGTTTATTTATAAGTATTAATATATTTGCAGTTCCTTTCGCAGCTTTTGTAAAGGAGCCACTTGGTCCATATTTATTAAAATATGTTGATTTTTTGGTTTTTCCAATAAGGTAAGGTCTGCGTTTCTTTTGTTCCAAGTGTGCACTATCTGACCAAACTAATTCACAATTTTTTTCTTTGTTTGGTAAAAAAACTTTATTCCAACTGCCATCATCTTCATCCTAACCGCTATCATCATCATTTTCCCAATCATCAAAATCATCTATTCGTGATTTCTTTGCAAATGTTTCATCACCGTTTCTTTCTTGCTCTTTAATTCTAGCTTTTCTTTTTGATAGACGAGTCATACTTATTATGTAGATGATCAAAGCGTGGGAAATTTGGAAAAAATGGCAGTTTTCATGTGAAAATTTTGTGTACAAAATGCTGATCCTTAGTCTGAAATTTTTCATTTACCATATGCTTCCTTATAGAATATTCTTGAACTTTGAACTAAAATAACTTAAATATTTTATAATATTTTGTAAAAATAAACTGATATAAATGTTCTTCTTATACTGTACTTTCATTTCATTGGATTAAATTTATATAAAACTGATTTATTTTTAAGCTATAAAGTTTTAAAGTCATGTGATTTTTGGGCGGTTTATAGGTGATAGACACCATAGTAATTTTTTTTTTTTTGCCAAAGTATGTATGTAATACACCAAAATAATGTTTATTGAACCCGACTTAGTAAAATTTATTGTTATCAAATCTGAGGGACAAACTATCCTTTTAGGAATAATTAAATCACTTCAGTTAATTTTGCAATTAATGAATCTAGAAAAGGCCATATCTACCCCTCGAAATTCAAGTTCAAAACTTTAATCCCTCAAAATTCGGAGGCGACTTTTTTAATAATAAAAATCCCCAAAGTTCAGAGGTGTCTTATATTCAGATTTTTTTTAATAATAAAGTCGACTCTAAAGTTCAAAGGCGTCGTCATCTCTGACTTAATCTAGGAATTTTTTTTTTTTTTTTACAAACTGAATTTTCAGAGCTATAATATATGAACTTAATAATTAGTATAATGTTATACTATCTTACTTATTTCAAGAAGGATGAACTTAATGCTAAATAAATTATTAACATAATTTTTTAATGCTTATATTTAAAATTAAAATTTTTATCTTTTTCTTTTATATTTACAAACTTAACCAAATCCTATTATTTAAAGTTTCCTTTATAAAATATTCAAGTATTTATATTAATATTTATTTATTAAATGAATAAAATATAATTAACAAATATATAATATAGAATTTCTTTTATTTGCTTACCTTTTCTTATTTAGAATAAATTTATTTGATTTAAATAAAAATTTGTTTTAACCTTATTATTTATATAAACTTTAAACAGTGTAATAGTATAAAATGAGAACTGATGGCTATAATATGTAGGAATAGTTCAATTAAGTTTTGGTTCTGTGAAACTGGTTTTAATAGTAGCAATAATATTTTATGCCTAATTTAAAACATTATTGTTTAACATAAAATAACAAATATAAATCCTTAAAGTAATAAAATTTATATTACTATTCTTTCAACTTGTTAGAAATACAACTTTTCATACATAAACATACTCTTACCATTTCTAGTAACAACTGATTTCTGGTTTTATTAATAACATTATCTGTAACTGAAAATGCCTTTTATAATACAACTAAGATTGCTGAAGAAACTAAAGAGTTTTTTACTTGCTAAAATACAAAATTGCTAAAACTTTGATGAAACTATATTAAAATCTTATAATTACTTATGCTAAAACTATAATAAAATGCTAAAATAACAAAACTAAAGATAGTTTACATAATTATTTTCAAATTTCAATTGAGTTGCAACTTAATTGCGCTATAAAGAAATTTAATTGTGTTACAAGTTGCAACTCAATTACGTTATTATAATGCTTATCTTTAAATAAAACTATCATAATAAGTACTAAAACTGAAGAACTATAACAAAATTATATTAAAAATTTTGTTAAAATTAATTATAGAATTTTGAAAAGGTTTAGGTAAGCATTTTTAGATGCAACCTTGTAATTTGAATTGTAAGATAACCTCATGTCATATTACTTATAATTAGATATATTTAGTATATGTTTGACACTATAATTAAGAATCAGTTTTCTCATCAATTTGTAATATAATACAATAATATAGTTTTATTATTGTTAAAAAATATAATGAAAAGAAAGTTTATCTGCATCTTATTATTAAAGTTATGTAAAAAAATATTAGCAAAAAGCATTAATTGATATATAGATGATGATAATAAAATTACTAGTCAAAAAATGATAAATAGAAGACTAATTATATCAAATCTAAGTTGTCAGATTGACCTGATTAGTTTCTTATTTTGTTATTTTTTTTAGTATTAAGTAATCCTAATTGATGATAAATAATAATACATATAGGTAATCAGGATATTATAAAAATATTAATAGGGTTATTCTTATTAATATCAATATATTAATATTCAGCTTTCAATTGGATTATTTTTAAAATATCAATAGGAATATTCTTATTATTTTTTTAATGTGATGTAATAAACTAAAAAGTTATCTTATAAATTACATGATTTTTACCTTGTCATAAAATCCATCCAATCAGCTAAAATTGGCAAATCCTCAAAATCTACCAAATCAGCCAAAACTGGCAGATCTGCCAGATTGACTAAATCTGCCATATATGTAATATATATCAAGTATATAATAAAAGACCAATTATTACATTTCTTATTTTTATATTTTTTATTATTATTATTTTATTTATATTATCAAATTTCTTATAAATAAGATAACTTTAGAACTCTAATAACATAGGAACTTTTAAGTAAAGAATTTACTTGGTTTTATTGCTAACAAAATAATTACTAAATATACTTGTATGCAAATAAATACACTTGTAATAATTCTTTTCTTTAATAAAACTCTATTGTTTACCTGTAATCACAATTGTCTCTAACAATACTTTTGGATTATAAACCTTCAGAAGCTCTTTATAAATTGTATTATAAAGTCTCAAAGCTAAATCCTTTATTAATCTTGCATCAATACTAATTTTCAGTCATTAGTATTGTAAGATAACAATTTGATGTAGGTTGCGTGGATTATAAAACATCCAATAAGTGATATAAAAAGAAAAAGAGTGGAGTTATGATTTTAGGTTACATAAAGGTGATACAAAAGCTCATCAGATAGTTTTTATCTTCACCGACCTCATGAAAGCTTGTGTAATATTTTAGTCATATGAAGTCTGTACAAGTCATATGATTTAATGCAAACTCTTATTAAATAGAAAATAATATAATGCGAATTTAATACAAACGTTACGGACGACATTATCTCAACTTCGACCGATCAGAATTTTCTAATTATTATACTATTGGATTCGTCATATGTCATGCATCACGATGGTATGTATTTCATTCAAATCGGAGCACTGGATGCTGAGAAATTTGAAGAATTGTAAATAGTTTTTTTTAGTTTTAGTTTATTTTTATTTTTATTTTTGAATTATTTATGAGTTACTACTGAGCCTAAAAATGAAAAGTGAGGGCTATAGGTTTTTCACAGATCTCATATAAAAATCTGATAGGTTCTTGCTAAGCCTAGTAAAAAGCATGGAAATTTTTAGCAAACGATTTAGATATTTCAGATGCCTGTAGGAGACAACAATTTCCTGAGGATATCTGATGAAGAAATTATTTAGGAAACAGATTAAGAATTTATTGAAAAGATAGTTAGACATTTCAGAT